AAATAGTATCATCATGATTTTACCCATTTATACCAAGAGTGCTAATAATTCTGGAGCTGACTTTTGGTGATACTTAAGTGCAGAGCCCAGGTAGCCCATGTCAGTTCTTTTTGTAATTGGATAGGTGGTTGGTTTGTTGCTAATCTTGTCCAGCTAGGCAGCTAGCTAGCAAACATATCCCAATATTAGCAAGAACATTGGTGGCACAGTGGTTACAGCCATTGGTTACATATCATATGATTGGGGGTTCAAGTTCCAGCCATGCCAAGCTACTGCTGTTGGACCCTTGAGCATAACCCTTTACCCTATCTGCTCTAGGAGCACCAAGTCATGTCTGACCCCAACTTCCTAACAAGCTAGGATATACAAAGAAAAGAATTTCACAGTGTTGTAGTGTACAAATAAAAGCTTTCTTCTTCTAAATGTTATCTATGAACAGCATATTACTAATAATAGTATGTTAATTTCATTTTAGCTAGATATCTACCACTAAACTGAACTACCTATATTAAACATTATCTAATACTGTGAAAATAGCTCTGTACTTCATTGTGTTGAGTACTTCAGAAACTCCTGACCCTGGGATTTCGATGTATAAGTCTCTAGAGTTTACACAGAATGGTGTGGGAAAAAAATCCACTCAACTTCAGTTCTGTGGGTGGAAACATCATGTTGATCAGAGGTCAGAGGTCAGAGGAGAATGGCCAAACTGGTTCAAAGTGACAGGAAGTCTGTGGTAACTGAACCCCACTTTTTGCATCCATGGTGAGCAGAAAAGCATCTCAGAATGCATAACAGGCTGAAACCTGAGGTGGATGGGCTACAACACCAGAAGACCACATCGGGTTTCACTTCTGTCAGAGAAGAACAGGAATCTGAGACTACAGTGGGGACAAGCTCACTGAACCTGGACAGCTGAAGATTAGAAAAACATTGCCGTAATTTTCAACTGTCCAGTTTCAGGATTAACGTGAAATTTGTGATGTGATATTTTGACTATATTGTCTCACCCCTGACCTCATTATGTATTTTTTGTTGTTTCTCTTTAGCAGTAATTGAAACACTGACCATTTTCTCCTCCAAGTATTCTGTTTCAACGGTCTGCAAGCATCTGTTAGAGGACGGTGAAATTTTTAAAGCTACAAATGTTGCATGACTCAAAGACAGTATTTTGTTTTCCACACAACATAGCACTGTTAGATTGGCCTTCAGCACAAACTGAAGCTTCCCTCCTGATTGTCACTTATTACAATCTAATGGTTTCTAAGCAGAGATCAATGCATCCACTCAAAACAGAAATAAAGACACGCAGAACGGACAATCAGTTGACCTGACGGTGAGACAGATGAAGAAATAATAGAAATGGATGCGTGTGCATGCCCCCTCAGGCTACCCTACCACCAGGCTTAACGAGGCTAATTACACAGCTTGAGGAGCAGCCAAGGAGACATGACTAATTGTATACACTTGAACGATTGTCCGATTGGTCATCTATCCGGCCCCACCTCCTGTAGATGAGGCAGCTGATAGGAGGAGAGTGTTTTTTTTCTAGTGACTACAGAGACAGAGATAGATTGAGCCAGGCACCATGCCGACTGCTGCTGGCACAGAGAGAGAAGTCTGCATATGACCTTGGAAGCTCAGGTATCCATAGCCAGAGAAGCAGGATAAAAGTACAAACACACACAAGATACGCATACACGTGGCCCTGACAACGTTTTCACTATGCACGTGGCACTGCTGGAATTTTACTTGATTTGAAAGCACAGTTGATAGGTGGTGTGATTTGTTAATGGAGCGACACAGTGCTAGTGATATATTTACATACACAGAGGCGCACACACACACACACACACACAATGCTTTTCTCATTTCTCATTTCCCATGTCTCCTCCCCACTTTTCACTGTTCTACTGCGAAGCCTCCTGTGACTAGAATAACACCAATATTTGCACACTCGCACTTGTTTACACAGCAAACATATTTTCATGTGTCTTTTTTCTCTATGCACACTTTAATCACACTGAAGTCCTTCATGATTATTCTGATTTTCAATATTAGCATATTGTTGTTATTACCAACAATTAAATTGTAACTTATTAGAATGTTATGCCTTAGGTTCTTAACATCATTCCCACACATTGACAATATTCATTAACTAATGTTTTCATCTGCATATAATTTCAACTTTTCTTATCCATAACGATTTAATATTAAGAGAGCAAAATTTATTTTTGTTCATTTTGGCTAGTTAGAAAGAGCCGTTATTAGAGAAGCCAGATGTTTGTAGGAGTGGCTTCTTTCACATGGAGGGTCAAGATGATTTTATTGGCATGTTGTAGAAGAGGCACATGATAAATCAGGCCATACTGCACTTAAATTTATGTGCAATTGTAGTGCATTTCCTCTCAAAAACATTTCATGTGTTGACAAACAATTTATCAGACAAAGTTACATTTGAAAATATTTTGTCGATATTTGTAAAATATTCCAGAAAAGTGCTGTGTCTATTGCATACATCAGCAGGTAAACCATTTTTCACTTCAAATCTCCAGAGCAAGACTTCCTAGGTTGAATTGTGAGAAAACTCCTTACTCATGACATGTATTGAAGGTGCCAGTAATTTCAAATGACTAAACCCGCTTTGGGGTCACATAATTGTGTGTGAGCTTAGGTTTTTATCACTGGCTGGCCCACGTAATAATGAAGAAGGAAGCTAGAGACAAATCTAAGTAACTGAAGGACACAATAAATGTTTGTAGCAGGATGATGTTATAGTCATAGAGTTGACAGCCAAATCCATCCCTGCTGGAAATCCCTATAAAACGAATCCTATTTTTCTCTGCCATATTAACATCCTTCTCAACATCCTTGGGTTGTTCTGAGAAACAATGAAAAAACAACGCCTTTCATTTTCACCACACCAGGATACACTGCACTCTGCAGTCAAAATTAATTATGTTTTTTTTACTCCATCTTTGCCCAATTTGGTCATTTGCCAATTTCCACCCAAAAGCCACCTCTCCGCTATCACACAGCTACCAACCAGGGAGGGTGAAGGTTAGTGATTAACATGTACAGCCCACGCATCCTTTCCACCTGCTGCTTTTCAACCAGCTGAACACTTGGAGGAAAGTGCTATCTGCCCTCTTCTGCATACATGAGCTCACAGACGTCCACGATTGGTTATTGTCACTCTGACTGACATAATAAATCCAGTTTTGCTATCTTGGACTCCCAAGAGATGGCTGTGGAGTCATCGGGATTCAAAGTCGCGATCTCCCAACGACAGGGCAAATGCTGTTCTGTTGCACCACTTGGAAGCCACAACTTAATTATCAGTGATAAAGAAAGAAAAGTTATCTTGTTTGATGACTAGCTCGGCCAAGAGAAGACAAGCCTAATGCTAGTAACTAACGCTAGCTTGCGGTCTGGATTGGGTGTTCGCAGTAAGGATTTCAGAGATTATATGACATACACGTATGCTTAATGCAATGCTGGCTACTTAAGTGTCAGAATACATAGACAATAAAATCAAGAATATTGGCAAAATGTGGATTCTATGAGATCTACAATTTGGTTCTACAAAATTCTACATAATATATCAGATCAGTTAAAATCTAGTTCTAGCTTTATCCTGCATGTGATGAATTATTTACATCTGGTCCATCATGGCATAAGATGTGTCCATTAGCATTTTTCCACCGGACAGTGCAGCACGATTTGACTTGGCAAATTAATCACGATATCGCATCAATTGTGAGCCTCTGTCATATTGAAAGCTTACTATGATTACCCTTCTTGCAAAGGTACCTTATGAGCCAAGGCGGGACATATGAGTCGAGCTAAAATTAGTGCAGACTGTTGATTGATCAGACACAGCCAGCACAGAATGATCCTGATTCATGTCTCTGGCTGGAATTGCAAACCAGCAGTCTTCAGTTTATTTATCTTCCCTACCTAGTGCACTATGCTTTGAACACCAGCTTTTAGAAGAAGCCTTTATTTGTCACATACACATTACAGCACAGTGAATTTTTTTTTCTTTGCATTTCCCAGCAAGTTGGGGTCAGAGCACAGGGTCAGCCATGACACAGCATCCCCTGGAGCTGTTAAGTGCCTTGCTCAAGGGCCCAACAGTAGCAGCTTGGCAGCACTGGGGATTGAACCCCAACCTCCTGATCAATAACCCAGAGCCTTAACCATTGAGCCACCACTGCCACATTCCTTGCAATTTTGTTGTTATTTTAATATCAACTGATAAAGTTTGCCCTAAAACAGTGTTTACAAAAGTACTGGTGCCCTCGTGTTTGGGTGCACTCTGTTGTTGAAATGGTTCATGCTTTGAGGAAGAACAGTACTATTTTACAATAAATAAATAACATTTAAAAATTCAAATGTATAATTTTAATTTGTGCCAATAACTGTGTACCACTTGACAACCTCCAGAGAACACGTGCTACTTTCACAGGTAGTGTAATGTGATGGGAATCCTACTGTTCGGTGGAAAAATTCTATTATGTATGAGATGGCCTCTGGTTTGACATCACTCTTGCTTTAAAACACACACATGTACATTCTGAAAAAAACTCCAGGTCATACTGCATGCAGTGAAAATGTTTGGTTTGTTGTATCTACTTTTGTATAGCAAAAGTCTGTGTCTCACTCTCTCTTCACTGTAAGAGAATGTCATTCATGACTCGTGCAATAAAACACTGCCAGTGATAATGTATCACAGTTAGCACTGATTCAGCTCTTTTCCATCCATCCATTTTCTGTACCGCTTATCCTACACAGGGTTGCAGGGAGCCTGGAGCCTATCCCAGGGGATTTGAGGCACAAGGCAGGGGACACCCTGGACAGGGTGCCAACCCATCACAGGGCACAATCACACACACTACAGACAATTTGGAAATGCCAATCAGCCTACAACACAGGTCTTAGGACTGGGGGAGGAAACCCCCGAAGCACAGAAAGAACATGCAAGCTCCACACACACAGGGCAGAGGCAGGATTTGAGCCCCCAACCCCAGCGGTACGAGGCAAACATGCTAACCATTAAACCACCTTGCCACTTTTCACTTGGTTATATTATATATCTGTTTCTGTCTATCCTGGAAAAGTCAACTGCAAACATTTTAAATATGCTTGAAATAAACGTCACTGAAGGTCATGGAGGCGTTATGTGACTTGTACAGCATTACTGAAATAGCATCTGCCATTAGTCTCACATGAGACATATCAAGAAACTGCAGCTAGTGTAAAGATGTTACAAAGGGTACTGAAAATGCTAACGCTTAAGGTCAGAAAAGAGCTGAGCACTACATATCCGTTTACGCATCTTTCCCCATGGCTCTGTGATCCGTTTTCATGCCCCCCAGTCTGCTCAGCTATGTCTTCAGTGTAATTTCATACTAACACACAGACAAATATGCCATGGATCCCACTATAGGTTTTTTTCTATCCCAGTATATCAGTAATATTTAGCCTAACTACCAGTAGGAGCTATTTTAAAATTTCCTTAAATATATTTCTACAGTTTTATTCATAAGACCACAAATAACCATTTGATAGCATGTACTGTTACTTGAGAGACAATGAGTAAATGCCATCGTGTTTCGCTAAATTTACTCTGTGAATTAAAAACTTCCTGAATGCCAGATTTTCAAGTACCTGCTAAAGTTAGTATCTGATTAGGTGCACTTTCTACATAACTCTGACTAAAGCCAATTACTTTTCATTGTTGGGTGGTAATGAAGCTTTCCAGCATTTACTAGCTCTGTGGGCAGACGAATTAAATGAAGAAAGATAAAGAGATGCCCCTGCCCCTCGAATATAATTAGAACGAAATGAAGAAATTTGCAGATAAATGCAGCATCGCTGATAAAGCAAATTTGAAAGTTGTGACAGTTACAAAAGGCAATGATCGAATTGCACTGATATCACTGCAACCGTTAAGTTAGGGAGAAAAATGTGTCTTTTGATTTATGAATTTCACACTAGAGTCCTCTGCGAATAGCTTTTAAGATCTAGGGGATGATAGGAGTTAATGTGCATAATCCCTTTAACAGTAGATTGTATATGAGGCTCTTTCACAGCAGTAAAAGAGTTTAGTTAGATTTGTTAAAAAGGACGAAATCTGTCTGCTTTTACAGCAGAGTAAAGGGCTTGTTATACTTCATCAGACCTGCTTCTGAGTTAGGCGGGGCAATATGATGATATAATATTAATATTATGATAAATTAGGGCACGATACACTTTTCTGAGTATCACAATATTTCTTTGCAACGTTGTACATTTTCCTCCTTTTCAGTGTTAAATAATTTTTTTCCATTACTTGATTTATCTTTAGTAATGGCTTTATCTTGGTCGGGGTGGCAATGGATCTGGAGTCTATCCAGGAAAGAGTGAATACACACACATTGGTAAGTCACGCACGCATTTGTAATACAGTGTAGCCAATCCTAGCATGTTTTTAGAAGGTACTAGGAAACCAGAGAACCTGGCAGCTCATGTGGACATGGAGAGAGCATGTGAAACTGCACACAGGTAATAACCTGAGCTCAGGCTCGAGCCTGAGACGGCAATGCTACCTGCTTCACCATCAGGCTATCCTAATTTAGTTTTCTAGACATTAAATAAAAGTATCAGATTTTTAAAAATGGCAACACTACTGTTTTGCTGGCACTTTGTTAGAAAACCTGTATATCTTGATACATATCATGTATCGTAGAAATGTCCCAGAAAGCCCTGAACTCTCATATTCTTTTCAAGACAGTAGGAGGACCTTAGCTGTCAATCAAACAAGCCAGTGGGTAGTAAATCTCAAGCCGTGATGTATAAAACAGCTATTTTTTTATGGGTTTTTTTTATCCCTTAAAATAGTGGTGAATCAACTGAGATGTAAATGTTACCGTTTTTGCTGCATCTGAGAAAGATTATACAGCATCACATCATCTACTGAGAAACATCTGAAAGCATGATTTGAGGCTTTTGAATACATTGATCCATCAGTTCATAGATATTTACGTCTCTACCGACCAATCACTGTGGAAATGGGAAGGCAGATTGGAAGTGCTGTGCTCCACCCCATCCAAAATGCCTTTCTGATGCTCCAAATGTGTGTAAAGTTGTCAATATGGTTCAAGATAATGCTATAAAACTAGCTCAACTAAAACATTGTTCATTATGGAACACATAATTAAACCAACATTATTTTTATCAACTCTGCCAAGACTGGCCCTCAATATCACTGAATTAAGAAGTGTTCTCCTCTCCTTTTCCTCATTAGAGGATGTTTTCATAAATGATGGACTGCCAGTTTTAGTAATAGACTGCTTGTCCCATTCATTTTGTTTAACATCAGCTGACAGGCTCGATTGCTGTCTCAGAGTAAGCTTTAGCTTCACACATCAATTGTCTCGTATACGCCACCTCATGCTCTCCATCACATCAGATACACAAGCCTAATCATGCTCGGGCTTGTAATCAACTTGTATTATGTATAATGTAATCATGTATGAGATTGGTACAATTTCACATTTCTGTATAAGCAAAATATCAAATGAGACGATTCGTGTCTGCAGGGAGCAAAAGGTCTTATCAACAGTGCATCATCACACCCTGTGCATGGCTCCTGTTTCTATGTCAGTATCACGACCAGCCCTGAGCCAGTGCATGAATCAAAAAAAAGTAATTACAGAACCTGTAGGAGGCAAGACAATATCCAAATTCAGGACTGGAGTTTCCTAGTTACAAATTATTGAAAGAACTTGAAATGTTAACTTCCTGGCCATTTATAGTAGAAATCACACACACACACACACACACACAGTGCCTCAGAAAGACTTTAAATCTCAAGCGACCGACAGGGGTCAGATCCAACCTTTACATTTTTCAAATATCTTTAATGTAATTTATATGATCTCTTCAAAATTTCTGGACTTGTCAATGAACTTCAATGAATACACAGTAGTGTGCAACATCTTAAGCACATGCAAAGAAATGCTGCAGAGCAAAAATGCCTTCAATAATAATGACGTTAAATATTTCTACATTTAAATACTATACAGAGCAGTAAACAGTAATAAATGAAACAAAGTCAATATTTGGTGTGACGATCCTTTCCTTTAAAAAAACAAAAATCAGTAGTCTCAGGTACAATTTGTGCAGTTTTATAAGGAAATGAGCTGTAAGTTTTATTGAGCATCTTGCAGAAGCAGCCACAGTTCTTCTGGAGACGTTGACTGTTGCACTTGCTTCTTATTTTTGCAGCAAAACCCAGCAGCCTTCATTATGTTTTTTGTCTGAAAAGTGTCTCTTATGTAATAAGCTGCTTTCTTTACTGACATACAAACATTTTTCTGTAACATTTAATTTTGTGCTGGGAAACTAATGTTCGGAAATCTAAAATGTTTTTGTAATGACTCGATAATGTAGAAATCATAAAATAAAAATCCATAACAAAGTTTGTACAAAAAATACAGTGCGTAAGACTTTTGCACAGTACTGAACATTTTTTTAATTTCTACCTTTTTTTGAGCACTTGGTAATGAGATGTATGTAAAAATGAGCTACGTCCACCTATGTGACTTAGCTTCATTGGACTGGGATAAAAATAATTTATTATTAGATTATTAGAATCCTTGGTTCTTTGGGGACCAGATAGCAAGTGATACATATCCACAGAAGGTAGAGGAATTTTAGTCTGCAACTTTTCAGCAGGCAGACACCTCACATGTGGACACAGACCACTGCAAATAACTTCTTCACCGACATCCCACTGGCTGAAGCGTTTCTGAATGATGGACTGACGTATGTTGTAATTGTAAGATCTAACACACCAGAGGTTCCTGAGGTGATGAGACTAAAGAGTTGCCAAAGAGGTCCAACCAAGTCCACTTTCTCTTTCATGCGTAACTGTGCTAGCTAAAATAAAAGTGGTTTTGGCACTGTCTATCATGCATCATGATGAAAAGGTGAAGGGTAGGCAGAACAAGCCTGAAATCATCCAGCATTACAATGCCACCAAGAGTGGTTTTGACAACCTAGTACAATCTCAAATCCCAACTCTACATACCTCTATTTGAGCAGCAATGCTGAACATGGGAGTGAGGCTGACTGCTGCTGTTGCAGTACCACCGTACACAACAAATCCAACCGCAGCAAAAAGGTGTTGTCTGTGTGACCGCAGTTCAGACAGAAAGCCAACAGTGTACTGTATGCTCAACTTGCAGTATGTGCCACACACAACTTGGCCCATGTTGTTTGCACTGACTGCCTTTGAAATGCATTAACTGGGCATGATTGTGGATCGACATCTTAATTCGGTGTGAGTTTTCATGTGTTAATCTTCTAATGTCAACTTCTAAAGTATAATGTGTTGTTGTAGGTGTACAGTATACTGAAGGCGTGCTGTTGTGGTATCTTTTTTGAAGTTGTCTTTTTCCTTGCGCTCATTAAAAAAAAAACAAGTTTTATCTTGCAGTCATATCTGACAGCAGTCATGCTTTGGTCATTTTCTTGAATTAATGTTAAATAAGGTTGCTGTAAAAACAAAATCTAACAAAAAAAAGTAACGAGTGCCACAGTGTTAGTGTGTTGATATATTAACATTTATGTGTAACCTGATGTTTTCTCTTACTGCTATTTAGAGTTTGACTAAAACTCAAAATGATTTCTGATAGTATATAATGTTATGTAGTTATTACAAAAACAACAATAATATTGAAATTTTTATACCAGTTAAATGTTTTACATGTCTAATGACAATAAAAATCTGTTTCTGAGTTTCAGTGTGACTTCCTCATCACACTGCGGGGTCATATCCGACCCCAGCTGGTCAGATGAGGGGCGAAATATATTGGTTGCTCGAGGGTTCAAGGGCTCTTTCACACCTATTGGTCCATTTGCTGAGTTGAAATCACAGTGACTGATACTTTTGGTTTGTTTGCTATTTGGCTTGGTTTAGTTTTACAGAGCTGAAAATGTCCTCGCAAAATAAACCTTTGCCAAGTGCACGTAGAAATCATGAAAAAAATCACCCGAGCAGGGAGAACGTGGAGCTGGCACTC